CTTCAGAAGCCTGTAATAAGATTTTATGGATGCTGAAATAACTTTCTAAATCTTGATCTTTGCTAGATAGAGTTTTCCTGGAAAAGAACTGTAAAGCTATCACCTCCCAATCTTACATGCTTCTGTGGGTTTTCCTAGTAGATAACCAAGGCTATATACAAAAGAAAGGAGATTAAAAAAGAAAAAACCCAAAATGTATGAATCTGAATAGTCAGATCATTCTACATACATTCTAAATTATTTCATTAGAAACAGCCTAACAGTTGTTGAGCAGCTCCAGTAGTGAAAAAATCTCTCTCTGGGACCTCCAATACCTCATAGCTCAGGGGGTGCATTGCTGAAATCTAAAGGTATAACTGGGTTGATATTTCCTGATTCCTTCCTACATTCAGTCAGATAAATATTTCTTCTCTGATTTAGTAATGTGATACTAAACAAAGAAAAGCTTAAAAATTCACAATCCTCATTCAAATATTATGTTCTTTTGACTTTATGATTTTGCTTTTAAAAAATGTGCGACTGAAATTTTAATGAAATAGAAAAATATCCAATGAAATGATTCTAAAGTAAATGTGGAAACTAACACTTTACAAAGCAAAAAAGGCTTAAAGTCAAGAAACATTTTAAATAGGAATATTAAAGTATTATTTCATTAATGTTTTCATCATTCTTTTCAAGTTTTCCCATGTCCCATATCAGTAATATGGATAAATAACACTAAAAAGAACTTCTAATTAGCATGATGTTGAGTTCAGTTTCCCTTCGAGGTTCAGGATGAAATATTCAAAGATGACATCACCTGCCACCAATCAGTCGCCTTCATCTTCACAATTCTAACCACTCCACATCACACCACTTATGTAACCTTAGCATTACACCAGTGCCTTTGCTCATTCTGTTGTCCACACCAAGATCTCTCCTTCAAGGTCAGTCTCCCACTTGACATCTCGGTGAGCTTTTACTTGATCTCTCTCCCCTACTTTCCAAACCCAACTCTAATTTTCCCAGCTCAAAACTTCCATGGTCCTTTGTTCTCTCATCTCATCTAGTTTGTTGTATTCCTGGGTTTTTTTGTTTGGTTGGTTTTTTGCTCGTTTTCTTTTTCTTTTTCCTTTTTTAAAATTTAGAGCAGTTTTAGATTCACAGCTAAACTGATCAGAAAGTACAGAGATTTCTCTGATAAACCAACTTGAAATGAATGCCTATAAATGATAAATTCGGGGTTTTCTCCATTCACAATAACATATCATACTGTTTCCCATATCACCCAGAGGTGTGGCTCATTGTATATGGACTTCAAATTACAATCATCAGAATATGGAATTTTATGTTTGAATGACAGTTTTACATCTGCAATATTTTTATCTATAATATTTTTATCTATTTATGTGTACTTGATTCCTTTCAAACAAAAAAGCCCAGAAGCCATTGCTGCTCCCTCTCCCTACCCCCAAAGAGAAGGGGTATGTGGTATAAAGGGGAGACCTGATTAGGTTCTACCTTCTCTGTATGTGGACTGAAGACCAGGCCCAGGGAGAAGGGTGGCATGTTTGCCTAATATTTGAGGAAATTCACAAAACGATTATATAAGGGCAAAAAAATGTTAAACTCCAAGTCAATAGGTCCAAAAGCTTTAAAATGAGTTTGCAAAACATATGACTCATGGAAGAATCTGTTTTGGAAGACTTCTAGAACAATTCAGGAGGACAGTCGGGAAAATGATTACCTATCGGAGAAACTTTTTAACAATAAATTTAGTCTGTTTTAGTGGAGGATGCCTTCAAGAACTACTATGAACTGTGCCTTTTATTTATTTGTAGATTTTACTTTTTTATTCATCAGAGACAGAGAGAAAAGCAGGGGGAGTAGCAGGCAGAGGGAGAAGCAGGCTCCCCGCTGAGCAGGGAGCCACATGCAGGGCTCAATCCCAGGACCCTGGGATCATGACCTGAGCTGAAGGCAGACACTGAACTGAATAAACCACCCAGGGGTCCCTGAACGGTGACATTTAAACGAACACATACATACACTATTTTGATTGCTTTTTCCACAAACCTCTATTTTCATTAAGTCCTCAATCTTGCCCTCCATAATTTTACAGGGCACAATCCTTTTCACTAGCACAACCATACAAAGTCTATGCAGGAATTCCCGGCAGTTCCTTATCTCAGCCCCACCTAACTGCTCCACTAAGCAAACACTGGGTTGTCTACGTAAAGCTAAGCTCTTCTTCTAAGGGGAAGCTGAGGAAATGCAAACATTGCTTTCAGTTAGCATACTGTTACTAAAACCACCATCTCCCGTTTTGACTTCCGAAAAAATACCCCTTCCCCACCTGTGTACCACTCCCCACTCTTAAACTACTTTGGTTTTGGTTAGTAAGAGAAGAAATACAAACTTCTTAATAATTAATATGGGCATTTGTGCTTTTAACACTTTCAAAGGTAGATCTATCAACATTATACAATTTGATTTTCTAAACAATGATAAGAAGATAGATACTATTTCTATTTTATAAGTGAGCATCAAGTCACACAGCTAGAGTTGAGATTAGGAATGAGGTTTTTCAATCCCAAATTCAATGCTTTTACCATCCTAGTCTTTTGTTCTTACCTTATTCAAAGTTATTCTTATTTGGTCATTCTCTACATGCTTCTCTGTATTAATATGGATTATAATATCTGGGTAGGAGGAGGACACTGTTTCTCTTTATACGGCACACAACATAGCTTTAACTATTTTTTAGGTAAGTGTGTATCTGACAAAATTAGTGATTTTTCACTTCTTTGTTATTATGTTAGTTATTATATTTTATAGATGAGAAACCTGAGCCCCAAAGAAGTTAAGTATTTTACCTAATTCACACAGTATATGGTGGAGACAGAATTTAAACTTTAGTCTTACCTGACTCCAAATCCCATGATCTCCCACTGAACCATCAAACATTCCCCCAGGGTGGTCTCTGGCAAATCATTCCAGAAGCAAATTTATTTTGTACAAAAACTTCAATCTCAGCCTATCCTGATTAAAAGGTCACGATCTGTCCATGCCCAGCAGTAAATCTGAGGCAAAATGCTTGTTCACTTAGCACCAACGTTTCCTTCTGGAGATTCGCCATGATAACAAGCATTCCTTTGGGAAGAGTCCAGTTTTTCAGCCTCCCTGGCCCAGTGTGGGATGACTCAGGTCAGAATACAGCAGGTCCAACCATCCCCTTCTAAACAAGACCTAAGAAGGTTAATGACTCAGGTACTATTGTTCTCAGATGACCTCAGGTGGGGGCCATGACAATTCACCAGCATAAAAAATTAAGCAATGGAAGATGGAGAAAGTTGATTTTCTGCTTTCAGGCTAAAAAAAAAAAAAAAAAATTTTTAATACACCAACTGACTACAGCATAACCTGATAAATGGTAGACTTCTCTCAAATTAAATCTTATTTTTTCCTCTTTTGATTGAAGGAAAATGCAAGATAAGACCTAAGAGTAGTTACCCTCTGAAGCCCTCCAGGAAATGTTTATTTTGTCTTATGTATAAAATCATAACTAGTATCCAAAAGAACCTGATATCCCTGTTAAGAATGAAAAGGACCATGGTAAACAGCTGGAGGGGGCTGATAGCATGTCCCACCGCATGCATTCTTTACTGGCCCCTTGAATTGCTCATTTCAAAACGGAGGAAAACATTTCCTGCCTTAGTGCATAACACAGAAGGCAAATGGTCTGGAATGACCTCAGAAGATTTAGCAGTTTTCTAAAAAACTTAAAACTGAGTTTGCTCAAAACTTCAATTAACTGGACATCTGCCAAACCACTTGGAAAATTTCTGCACTCAGAAAGAAGGAGGATTCTCAACATGAGATTCTCCCTAAGAAATCATCACAACCACTGTAAATATTTCTATCACTGGTTGCATAAGTGATCATACCAGAATATGTGCTTCTCCGATTCCCCTCATTCCCTTCCAAGTATAACTTTCCAAAAACAAAATCTGTGATTTACTACTTTGTATAATCCTTATAGAATTTAAGGTTCTCATTCATTCATTCATTTGTTCATTCATTCATTCAACAACAATTATGTTTAACACTGTATCAAGCATTGGGGCTATAATGACATTTGATCCATAGATATTTCTTGAGCATTTACTGTGTTTCCCGCACTGACCTAGAAAATGAGGTATGGCAGTGAACTAGACAGTCAAGGTCCTGTCTTCATGGAGCATTCATTCTAGTTCAGTGTGTTTTAGTCCTGGCTGTGAACCAGAATCACCAGGGAGCTTTTAAAGCAGACCACTGTTAAGGCTCCACCTCATATTGAATTAAACCAATGAAGTCAAAGACATTTGTTTGGTGGTAGACGTAGGCAATAAAACAGGATTACAATGTGATAAATGAAATGACTGACAAAAGTAAAGGATATTTTGAAATAACATAGAAAGTACACACAATTCAGATTCAGGGCTGAGTAACATGTTTTAAATGATGACAGATCGGTTAGCCTAGGAAATGAAGTAGGAGCATTCTGGATAAAAGAAGGAGGACATTCAAAGCAGAGAAACAGACTTCTGATACAGGGCAGTGATACTGCTATTATTTATGAGTAGAGCATGGGAAGCCCAAGGTTTGAAGACAGAAAGACAACCATAGGAACTGGATAAGTAGGTAGGAGCCAGAGCAAGAAAACTCCTCCATTCTCATCTCTGAGGATTTAGAAGTTGTTTCTGGAAACAATTAGAGCTTTGAAGGAAATTTGAACAAGAAGTTAATAATTCATTGCCCATTCTTTTCCTTTCTTTACTCCCAGGCCATAGATACTTAAATCTTGCAGGTCTTAAAGCAACAACACAGTAATTCCAAATTGTATCATCTCAATCACTGGAAGAAATCAACACTTGACCTGCTAAATAATGAGAAACATCGTGTCATTATTCCACTTTATTATGTGTCTGGCTTCCTCTATCTCCCTTCCAGCTAACCCAGTCATTTGTCTTTCTCTCCAGTTTCCCAAGCCTGAGCCCTGGGAGATGCTGAGGACACTTAATACCTTCATTCCCCAGGAAGAAGAGAAAGCACCAGAGTGTGGAAGAAAGGGTTTGGGCTTCGTGCACAGGCCTCCAGTGAGAAGGGGACCTAAGTCTTTGAGCATTTTGCCAGCTAGCTTATCTGATAAGGCAAGAATGAGAATCATTTTCTAGGAAACGATGGTAATTTAAACATTTTTTTTTTAAACTCTCCTATAATTATGTGCCTGTATGGGTTTCATGGAGCCCAAAACATGTTTTTGTTATTTATAACCTTTTATTTTTCCCCACTATTCATAAAACAGTAAAAAACAGTTCTTACAAATAAGGGAAAATTCAAGTACAGTACCTGCTTGTTTGACTCAGTATTTTGATTTTAAAATCAATAATTTATTTTAACTAAATGACAGACATTTTATTCCTATGTACAAAGAACTCACAAATTCCACTCTGCCTCCCACATCCCGTTTGGTCACAAGAGATAATGGCTGCATTGACAAGAAGTATTTCCAGTTCCTGTCAAGGGTCATTTCAGAAAGAAAGCTGAAGCAAAAGCCTCACACTATTATTTTTACTTTAAAACATTTAAAAAATAAATATCTAGTTATTGGCCTCCAGTGTCTTCTTGTTTCTGCAAATGAAAACCGTGGGAGGAAGTAGTTTTATGCTAGTGAAGCATCCGGTTGGTCAGATTAAAAGGGACCAAAGACAAGAGCCCAAACCTGAATATAAGCCTTCTGTAGCTACAAGTCAGACACAGGCTTTTCTCCCATTTGACCCTGCTTAGTGGCCTTCTGGGATCAATAATGGGAGACTAATACTCACTTGAGACAAGTCTGGTTACTGCTTTCCTTTTGAGAAGAGTCAGAGATCTACATCTTACAACATACGTATTAATAGTAACCTCTGTTTGGTTTCTTAACTCTGTTCTAGGCACGATGCCAACTGTTTTCTATACAGTTGACCTTTAAATAATGGGTGGGTTAGGAGTGCTGACCTTCCCCGCACCGAGAAATCCTCCTTAACTTATGACTCCTCCCAAAGTTAACTACGAATAGTCTACTACTGCCTGGAAACCTTACTGATAATATAAATAGTAGATTAACACATATTTTGTATGTTTTATGTATTAAACACTGTATACTTACAGTAAAGTGAGCTAGAGAAAAATGTTAAGGAAGTCATAAGGAAGAGAACATATGTTTATAATATTATACTATATATATATATATATATATATATATATATATATAAATCTGTGTATGTGCAGACCCATGCAGTTCAAACACATGTTGTTCCAAGGTCAACTGTACATGAACTGATTTAACTTATACAGTAACCCTGTCCCAAGAATCTTACATACATTACACTGACAGGAAATCATGAAACTAGTCAGTGGGGCAGAAGGAATAGAATTCTTTTTTGTGACACAGAATCAAGCGCTCAAGAATCACTACACATGTCTGTTTCTCTGTCATTCAACAGACCTTCCCATGCAAACCCATGTTGTTCAGTATTCATATGGTGAATACGTAAAAAAGGTTCCAAGAAATGAACTTCTCCCTAACTCACTACATGCATGTTTGTGTTCTTCAGGTATATGTCATGAAACTGCAAAGACTAACAGGACTGACTTACATCTCCAACAAGGTTCCAGCAATTAACCATGAGCCAGCTGTAGGTCACCAGGCCTTGTAGAACAATTCAGCCTTATGCTCATGTAGCTCTTTCCAGCACGATAGCCAGGAAAAGGAATTGAAGGATTATCAATGACCCTTTTGTTTTAGATCTATTAGCCTTGAGGTAGATCGTCTGCTGAAATATTTACTCTTTTCTTCCCTGGTGATGTCATTCTCACAGCTACTCTTCAGATAGCTAGCTAATTACCACTTAAAGCTACTTTTTGTCTTCTGAATTCTTTTCTGCTGCTATTCCAACCCAGTAATTCAAAACAACAGCAACAAAAACTATTGTGTTTCTCATTCTGTTGTCCATTCTCTGAACTTTCTAGGTCAAATCAATGTAGCAATCATTCTTAGCCTCAATGATAAACTTTATTCAAGATATTCAAGTCTGGGGGCACCTGGGTGGCTCAGTTGCTTATACGTCCAAATCTTGATTCAGCTCAGGTCATGATCTCAGGGTTGTGAGATTGAGTCTTGAGATTTTTCTCTCCCTCTCCCTCTACCCTGGCTCCCGCCCCACCCCCCACATGTACTCATTCTCCCTCTCTCAAAAAAAAAAAAAAAAAAAAAAAAAAGATATCCAAGTCTGTGTAGGAGAAGGCAATGTGTGGTATCTGAGGCACAGTGTGGGTGTTCAGTAAGACCTTACACCTAGTGTTAATGTTTATAAGTTACTTAATCCCTACAGCCTTGAGATTTTCATTTTTAAAAACTGAATATTAATGCCTACCGTTCAGAGTAGTTAAAAGGATTAAATAGAAGATATATGTGAGCCAAGTATTTTCGCATTTTCAAAATAAGGGGTAGATACTTTATAAAGCACAATATTGTCTTATTCTTAAATGCTGTCTTAAATTTTTTTTCTTTTAAGAAATATATTTTAAAAGTTAAACAATATCAAATACATATGAAGGCTAATACATCTCTTTCAAGGACCTTAAGTGATATCTTTATCTCTGGTATATTCAGTCTAGTCCTGATTAAACATTACAAGAAAGATGCAGGTGTAGAGATTTCAAAACATAATTAGGGGCCTCTTTTTATGAAAATACGTTGGCGACTATGAATTCCATAATTTTTATAACTTCATTTTTTTCTCCCACCATTCCTGACAGTTGTGTGTAAAATCTTCCCATATCATAATCAAGAAAGTGTCTATAAAAGTCTATGAACTTTATATTGGACAAAACTATTAACTCCTATTGGGTAAAGAGGCATCACAGAATAGTGGTCATGACACGTGATTTGGAATCACACTAGAATGTGAATCCTAGCTCGGACATACACGTGGTTTGATCTCCCTGCATCGTTTCTTTACCCATATGCTACAAATATAGTACCTGTTGGTGTCAACATTAACTATAGTGAGGTGTGTATTTGGAGGTCCACACACTAGAGGTGCTCTGTAAGTGTACTTCCTCCTTTTGTCTCCCTGTCTAACTTTATTTACCTAGCATTTGGACTCATTAGATTAATTAAATTGAATTACTACTGTTTTAATATGTGAAGTAAAAACACTTCAAAGCCCCGCTAAGCACATTGACCTTTTCTGTAAGTAGGAAAACACACCTCTTCTCACCTCATTGTCCAATAGGCGTGACATTTAGTGCATATTTGCATATGAGCAGTGCACACACCACACATATGTGCTGACATGCAAGTCGGCCCATCCCATGCCAGTTAGTAAACAGCACGCAGAGTCAGGGAGCATCACTATAATGCAGTTTTGTTTAGAGCTCCTCAGTGCCCCAAACTGCTGTCTAAGTGAAGTATTTTGTGTCTTAATTGCTGGTGAGCAGCCAAGCCATTTTCGGGGTTACTGTGAAAATAATGCAATTTTCCAATAGGAATATGTTTTGTCATGTCAAGAGAAAAGAAGCCTTTATCTAATTTACAGTTCAGAAGACACTGTGATATCCTTCTGAGGCCAAATTCTGGTCCCATGATTCCCATAAGAAACACAATAATAATGATATCAAAAAACAGATCTCAGTATGTAGTTAATGTACACAACAGTCAGAATTTCTTGGGTCAGTCCAGATCCATTCAGTTCTCCATGGGGAAAAAGTAGAAAACAACGTAAATTCTTTCATATCCCTCTCAGACGACATCTCGCTGACAAAGTTCAAAACACTCTTAAGAAGAAAGGAAAAGCAAAACAAACAAAAAGACCCAGGAAATTTCAATGAGGCAACTTATTTATTTATCCCTAAATAAATTTCCTTACTTTACTTGTAGTCCTGGGAATCATTAGCAGGTACCTTAAACTTTCAAGAGTTTTGAATATGCGGATTTTGGTAGGTTGCCAAATAATTACCTTGTTTATTCCTTTCCAGTTTCAGGAACTTTACTAATAAATTTTGCTGGTAACCAACAACCCCATAACACTGACACACACATGCATCTGGTGGAACTCTTAGAGCATGAGGCTATAGTAGGCAGATGGGTACCATTTTATGAGGCTCTGCCACCAAAATGATGATGTCAACACAGTGCTCCTTCATGTTATGCTAGTAAATACTTGAAATGGAAATCTTGGAATCATAGATCAAACATTACAAGGTAAAAACATTACAAGGTAAAAACTTCATGTGCCTCAATTAGAAATTATTCTGCTTGGTTCATATTTTCCATTTGAAACTTCTTTTTTAGTCCCAGTTTCTCTGAGGTTTTACTCAGGAGGCTAAAATGTTATGCCTCCCAGGAAAATATTTTGACTTTTTTTCCCTTTCTGTTTCACAGCTGAAACAGAGAATTTACACTGTGAGGCATATCAAGGTTTTCCGCTAATGGTAAATAAAACTTTGATTCCTCCAGAAGTTGATTGTGTAATCTACACCACAGAGTGCAAACCAAAAGTAGGTTACTGCATGTTGAATCCACTTAAAAAAGAACTAAAATATTATTAAACAGCTTGAGAGGTTGTTAAAGAAATGTTATTTATTCACTAACGGAAATTTGGCCCATGCCCCAAGTCATTAGTATTTCAAACAGCAAGGACCTGAAGATTAAGCCTTTCTCTTGTTGGCAGGAATCATCTTCTGAGAGCAGATTTGAGAATGTTGGTAGGGAAGGCCAGGCAACTATGATTTTTTCTACTGCAAATAATTCAGTAGGAAGACATAGCTTGTCCCAATAATATCACTACTACCTTAAAAAATAGCAGAAATTATTAATAAAATAACTGAATAAAAATGGAGTACTTCAGTGGAATAAATATGTTGTACATCTCAAATTAATATAACATTGCATGTCAACTGTACTTCAGTGAAAAAAAATTGAGAGCCTCAATGATCAGGATTGCTTAAAAATTAGATCTAAGAATATTTCACATAATCATAAGTCAGTTAGCATTTGTTGGGCCTTTTCAAGGACTGTATCAGTTTTCTTTTGTCACACAACAAACCACCCAACCACCTGTGGGTTGGTGCTCAACCAACCTTTGTTTAATTATTCATCTTGTAGGTTAGCAATTTGGGCGGGCCTTAACGGGGCAGTTCTGGTCACAGCCAG